CTGAGCACTACTCCACTGCTCCAGGGGATAAGGCACTTCATCTGGGCGCATGTTAAAGTGACTCTTAAAACATCAGGAACTGAAGAGCCAAGGGTTATTTCACAGAGATCCGTGCATTTGCACCACACACCCGACGTGTAGTTAGCAGGTCCTTATGTGACATACTGCACATCAGGCTGGGCTTTACCATATCACCTTCAGCTCTGTATCCTGTTTTGTTAAATTGCAACTGGCAATTGGCATTGACCATGGTGAAAACTTCAAATCAAAACACACATGCTAAAACTGAAAGAAGTTTAAGGAGTTAAATTAGCTGATTTATATAGCTGGCTGATCTTTAGCTGTGTATTTTATAAATGCAACGCGAGTGAAATACAATAAGTGCAATGCCTAAAATATTTTCGGTAATAAAAAAATAATTCTCATTTAATGACTCTTAATAAATACCAACAAAAACCTCAATGAAAACTCAAATAAGGGCAGGGCAGTCATAGGCAACACCAAACCCAGAATGTTTTAGCTGTGACTGTATGACATACAGTATATCACACTGAACAAATGGATATCTTTCATACAAATTTCTGGTGTAGATTAAATGTCTATCTACTCAGTAAAGTTGTTCAAAATATAGCATTCAGAGTTTACTGAATGCTACTGCAGACACAAATTATTGAGAAAAGGGGGATAAAACCATAAAGCATGATTACACCATCATTTGAAAGGGTCTGGTTTGACAGGAGGTGAAATAGTCTCATCTTCAGGTGAACAGGAGTACTTCATTATTTTTAAAATGCTACTATGCAACAACTAAAATGTTATCTATGTAACAGATAACTGCTGCGGCACCTACACTGTATCTAATTCTCCTGCACATCACAGACATGAAGGTTCCATGAAGGTCTGGACTTGCCGGGCTCTAAACCTATTACCGTTATATGGCCATACTAATACTACAAAGGAACAAGTAATAGTTTTATTCCATGCTGAAAAGAGAAGTAAGAAAATGTTTTGCTGTGGAGCCTTCTTCAGATGTAATACTAATACTACTGCAATTATTATTAATAACAACTACAAGAATACTATTATATAATTATAGTAGTTCAGGTGGGTAGCTGCGTCAGCATGCGTAGACTGCAAAGGAACAAGTAATGGGTTTATTCCATGCTGAAAAAAAGAAGAAAGAAAACACAACGTTTCATCCGTGGAGCCTTCTTCAGGTGTGAGAAGGCTCATTGACACACCTGAAGAAGGCTCCACGGCCAAAATGTGTTTTCTTTCTTCTTTTTTTCAGCATGGAATAAACTTATCACTTGCTCCTTATATAATTATATAAAAGTCATATTCCTCAAAAGCCTGTCTTTGCTTTGTCCACCATTATCAAGAGAATGCATTTTCAGATACAAAATGGCAAGGTTTTTCAGACAACCAAAACCACTGTACATTTTAAATTTGCAAAAAACGTTGTACTAATATTCCACCCAAAAAATGTAAAAAGATAAACATCTCTAATATGACTCCACTGTTTCGATAGCACATTGTAGCTCCCAGCCCACAGGGCAGTTCAATATAGATC